CCCCCCTTTTTTTTTTTTTTGGAACCGGGGATGGAACTCAAGGCCCTTGTGATTCCCAGGGAAGCACTTACTCTACCGAGCCATCACCTTGGCCCTGTTTTGTGGGTTTTCAAAACTTTTTTTTTTTCTTTCTGTATTTAGGGCAAGGCCTACAGGGTATTCAGGGTCTCGCTGCGTAGATGGGACTCGTAGAGATCCTCCTATTTTCAGCCTCCCAAGTTTTGGGATTACAGTGTGTGCCACCAAGGCCAGTCTCAATCACAGTCTCAGTTCACCCTAGGGGTGTGGGGGGCAGTGCCGGCAAGGCACCTGGGGATCAAACCCCTGCCGCTGCACTCTGCCTAAGCAGGTGCTTTAGTCTGCTGAGCTATTAGCCCTCAAAACATGTTAATCTAAAATATTTATTGAGGATTTTTTTGCTGTAGTGCAGGTTTTTGCAGTACTGTACAGTATACATATATTGTTAAAATTATGTAGGTTTATGAGCTTAGAAAATGGTTAAGAACATTAGAAGTGTTCTTAAAAGCATGGGAAAGATTCTGTGAGTGTGGGAAGGGTTTATAAAGCCTGAAAATATATATAAATACTAAAATACAGTGTTGCTACTTTGCTGATTTTCACTTATACAGGGGTGTCTGGAACGTAGCCTCCGAGATAAGTGAGAGACCACTGTAGTTAAATGATTATCCTGACCATTCCACATTCAAACACCTTCCTACTTGGTTTTGAGAGCCATTTGAAGGCATGAAATCTAGGTGTTGAGATCTCCTCACCTGAGTGGGAAGTAACTTTCCATTTCTAAAAGATTGGCCAGGAATATTTTAGGCAAAAGAAAGAATACTCACATTTGTTGGATTTGGGGTTGTCTGAACAGTGCTTAGTGGGTGTCCCTGCCATCTGAAGAGTATACAAATCTATTGTTTTCATTCAGGGGAAGATACAAAAAGTCCAGAAGACCAGCTGGGGAAGCACAGTGAGAAACAAGCACCAGGTGAGAAGGCTTGCTTTGCTTTCCTTCCAATGTGTCTTTCTTCAGAATTGCTATTTGAATTCCTGGTTCTCCATCACTAGGGCATTGATTTAAGTTTTATTAATTATAGAAAGTATAGAGAGTACTGTATTTTATAAATAAATCACTAAGCACTTAGCAGTTTTAACTTGAGTGTCTTTTTTTTTTTAACTTGAGTGTCTTGGGCTGTGTTTGTTTACATGCTATCCGAAGTGTGTGTAGGGCAGGTGTCATTTTAAACATTTTAATTTTTATTTATTTTTTTAATTTTTATTTTTTATTTTTATTTTTTGGCAGAACCAGGGATTGAACTCAGGCTCTTCTACTTAGCCATCTCCCTGGCCCTCATTTAAATTTTTTTTTTACTCTTTTCTTTTTTTTTGGTACCGGAACTTGAACTCAGGGCCTCGCGCTTGCTAGACAGGCATTGCGCCACTGAGCCACATCCCTGGCCCTGGCCCTCATTTTAACCATTTTAATAAATGTGATAAAATTATCTTTTTTTTTTGAGACAGAGTCCCATTATCTTGTTCAGTCTGGCTTTGAACTCACTATGCAGCCCAGGCTGGTTTTGAATTTAGGGCAGTCCTCCTCTCTCAGCCTCTGAGTACTGAAATTATGGATGAGTACCATCACCCCCAGCAAAATTGTAATTTTTGGTATTTCCTGCTATTATTTTATAAAAATTAGTGGAAAAATAGCCAAGTCTTGATCATTCTGAATTTAAACAATTTTATTACATGGTTATGCATCTATCAGTAATTCTTTTGTTATTAGAAATAGCACATATCTTACATGTGCTTCACAATGTTGCATAGGTATCTGCACTTCTCTTATGGATACTATATTCTTTTTTTTTCCCCAGAATCATTTAACTTTATTAAGAGACAAATAGATTTTATATTTCATGATGGATAGTAAAAACCTAATCACATCAATTACCCTGTAATTTCAGTGGGGTAAATATCTTTTACTATGGAATATAGATAGATAGATAGATAGATAGATAGATAGATCTATATATATTATTTAGGACAGGGTCTACAGGGTCTGTGGTGGCTCACTGCGTAGATCGGACTCATAGCAATCCTCCTGTTTTCGGCCTCCCTAGCACTGGGATTACAGGCACGTGCCATCGCGCCCAGTCTCAATTGCTGTCTCAGCGCAATTGGGGAAAAATGGAATAAGGATTTTATTTTATTTATTTATTTTTTGCTCCGAATGCCTTCAGGGCAGGTTTGGCTGGCTTGAGTTGTGGGGATCCAGCCACAGCAACCTGAGCCTGACTGCTTTGTTGAAGCAGCCACTTAAAGAACAGAGCTAAGGGACAGGCCCCCTATATTCTTACTTTGTAACTGAAAGAGTAAGTACCCTGAATCATGTCCTCTTTGGAGAACTCACCACTTCTCTTTCACTTGTAAATCAAAATATTGTGGTGCTCTGATACTTATTTTTATGGATATTGAGACATATGTGTCTTTTAGGTCATTCATTGATGATTTTCTTTTAAATATTAAAGTTGTTGACCTTAAAACCATATATAGAGAACTTTAGTGAAAGTAAAATTAAGTGGTGTTTACTTTTTTAAAAACGTTTTTGAGATAGTGTTTCACTATATGCAAATAAGGCCAAACTCACTTTGTAACCCAGGCTAGCATTAAACTCGCAGCGATCCTCAAACTCGCAGCGATCCTTGTGCCTTGATCTGGGATTACAGGCATTTGCCACCATGACTGGCTACATTTTTGAAAGAGATTCATTTGGTTTAGGGTTTTGTCATTTGGAAAATTCTCCATGTGGATTTAATTTATATTTTAAGTGTAAATATTTTTCTTTAACCATAATCCTTCAGGAAGGAACCTAATGGTCTAATGTTGAGCTACAAATTTTAGGAGCAGGTATTTCATTTAAAATAATCAAATGTTTTAATTTTGGTTTTTTCCCAGAACCGGGGATTGAACTCGGGCCCTTGCGCTTGCCAGGGAAGCGCTTATTCTACCGAGCCATCTCCCTGGCCCCAAATGTTTTAAAATTATGGGCAGTCTTCAGCCTATTTTTATGAAGTATAGTTCTTTTTTAATTCAATAGAATGTTTCAAATGATACATAATTCAAGAAGTAAGATAATACTAAACAAATTATACTTAATTTTCTCTCAGTGGATCAACTTTCTAGATGTCTTATATGTGTACTAAACTTTTATTTATTTTTTTAACTCTATTTTAATATTCCTTTTTTTTTTTTTTTTTGTGGTGCTGGTAATTGAACTCAGGCTTTATGCATGCAAGGTGAGAACTGTACCACTAAGCCACATCGTCAGCCCAACATTGAATATTCTTGAAAAATCTTACAGAAACTTGAATTTTGTTTTATCAGTTTTAAATAGTTATAATTTTTATCTCTTCAAGATACTTTGTTTCCCTTCTCACGTCCACTACCTGTGGGCCTACTGTGATCTTGACCAGCAAATGTCTCTGCAGAAGTTAATATGTGCAGGGGTTGACGGTAACCGCCAGGATTGGTAGAGAATGTCAGAAGCTGATTGGTGCTGACTGAGACTGTTTAAAACATTTGGAGAAGTATAGGTGTGTAGAAAATGAAAAGTGAATTTTGTGTAGAATAAACCTGAGTATGAACTTAAGGAAAATTACCTTATCTCTAACATACCATGGCCTTGAAACCCTTTAGCTAGACTTTCTGATTTAGAGGTACCATTTCCTATATTATAGCAGCAATTAAGTCTTAAGGAAAACTACTAACTTTTAAAAAGAGAAACTTGTGTAATATGGTCTTCCAGGCAGTGATTATCAATTGTTTTCTTTTCCTAAAATATGTTATTGTAAGCTGAACTTAAATATATTTTCCCTTGTTTTTTTTTTTCCTTCCAGTACCGGGGATTGAACTCAGGACCCTATGCTTGCCAGGCAAGCACTTAATTCTACTGAGCTATCTCCCTGGCCCTCCCTTGTTTTTTTAAAGATGGATTTAGAATACTTTAAAAAAAATTTTTTTTTTTTAATTTATGTATTTGGTATAGGGTCTCACTGACCTGTAGCTGTCCTGATTTCTCTTGGAATTGTTTCCAAACATAGTGGAATGCCTATAAAAGTATTGTTAAAGTATTATTTTAAATACAGCTATGAAATATATTTTCTTCCTGTCTTGTTGGGCTTTTTTTTCTGATACAATGAACTAATATTTTCCTAACATTGCAGGAAATCCACTCGGCAACCTTGTGAGAGAAATGTTGAAAGCCGAGAAGATTGTCTTAAACCCTAAGGTCCAAATGCTTGGCAGTTATTCCCACAGCATTTCTGTTTGGCACTTTGTCAGTTGCTTTGTACTCAATTCTCATATGAAGTTACCATAGTTGACACTGCCCAGCAAGGAATACAGTAGTTGGAAAAAGCTGGTATTAAAGTGAGATCTGTAGAATGATAAGGAGCCAGAAAGAAGCAGTGGCTTGCATTAATGCCAGATAGGCTCCATTGAACACTTTCAAAAGACAAAAAAAAATATTCAGAGTTGTTATTCTGCATATTGAAATCTAAAGACCAGGCTAAATAGGTCAGGCAAATAGGAAAAAGGGTTCACACCGGTAGTTGAGATTTCTGTTTTTCTTTCTGATGCCTAATTTAGTTCTTAATATATACTTGACCTTTTTTTCCCGTGATCTCATAGTTAGTTTTCAAATGTTGATTTTTTTTTTTTATTTTCATTTTTTTTTTTGTTGCTCTTATAATAACTCTTCCTGTGGTTAGAAATCACCAGACAAACAGCTGGTGCGTCTGCCACCACAGGAGGCCTTTCCTAATGATTCCTGGGTAATAAGTAGACAGAAATTCTAATTACCAGTTTCCATCCTCTCCATTCACAGACACAGTAAAGGGCACCACTGAGGAAGACGTGTTGACAGGTCAGGTGGTGACAGTGGAGGAGCAGTGTGTGCCAGCAGCAGAGCCGTCGACAGTGAGTGAAACTACAGAGAAAACAGTGTTAGGAGAATACAATCTCTTTTCTAGGAAGATAGAAGAGATTTTGAAGCGAAACAATGTTTTATATCTCAGTAGAATTTCTACACCTATCTTTTCAACACAAGAGAAGATAAAGCGGCTTTCTGAGTTCATACATTCTAAGACTGCCAAAGCTGGTGTACAGGAATTTGTAGATGGTTTACATGAGAAGCTAAATACTATTATTATTAAAGCATCAGCTAAGGGTGGGAATTTGCCACCAGTTAATTCTAATGATTTCAGTGCTACGATAGCATTGAATCCTGGAAGGCACGTTGTATCAGTCTCCTCAAGTGATTTCAACAATAAACACCTCCTTGAGCCAGCTTGTAGTGATGCTTTGAAAGATGCCGACTCTCATGAACAGCATTTGTCTATAACTTTGGGTTTAACTGAAGGAGAACTGAACCAGCCACACCATACTCGTGAGTTAATGGTGACTTCTGATCATACTGTACCTGGTGATTCTGCCCGGGACCCAGTAGAAAAAGAAACAAAATCACCCAGTGATGTAAACATTTCTGCCCAACCCGCTCTTTCAAATTTCATAAGCCAGTTAGAACCTGAAGTGTTTAATAGTTTGGTTAAAATCATGAAAGATGTCCAGAAAAATACTGTGAAATTTTATATTCATGAAGAAGAAGAGAGTATGCTGTGTAAAGAAATAAAGGTAACTAAACAAGAAGGTAATGTAATGCTATAAAAATTTGTCTTGTTGGTCTGACCTCTTTAAAATGTTTTTTTTTTTTAAGATCACTATAGTTTCATAAGTTAGTAATTAAAATAGATTAGTAAATTGAATTCAGAACTTGTGATCTAAGTATCTCAGAATTTAAGTCATGTTTTTTGGTTTTTGTTTTTTTTGGCTGGCTCAGCCCTCCCTGAGGCGGGGCTGGCATGGCATGTGGTGCCAGGGATCAAATTGCAGTCCCCTGTGCCTGCTTAAGCTTGTGTGAGCAGGCGCTTTTAGACCTCTGAGCTATCTTGCCAGCCCCTTAAGTAAAATTTTTAAGAGCATTTGTGTATATATACTGCAGGGGGTTGGGGATGTACCTCAGTGATACAGTGCTTACCCAGCATGTACGAGACCCTGGGTTTGATCCTTAACAGTGCAAAAGAAGAAAAAACATTAAAGTGTAGAGATTTTATGTGGTACTTTTGCTGGGTGTGGTGGCAGTAATGCTAGCACTTGGGAGTCAGAAGCAGGAGGATCGCTCTGAGTTTTAGGCCAGCATGGTCTACATAGCTAGACCCTCTCTCAAAAAAAAAAAAAAAAGAAAAAAAAATGTTGTATGCTTGGGCTTTTAATAAAGGTTGAAAAAGTAAGAATAGGGTAAAGTAAGTTGCTGTTGTTTATCTTATATGGAGTTCTGTTAATCAATAAACAAAACTGTGCAAGGATGCTCTAATGATACATTCTTTTGGTGTGTCCTAATAACCTGTCATGATTCCCTATGACCTTTATTTATTTATTTTTAAAATTATTTTTTATTTTAATTTTTTAATAGATTGCAAATTGAAAATAAATTATTTACAAACATGAATGAATATGACAATTAAAATTATCCAAAATAAAAATGAAGAATTTACAGAGCAGTCATAATAGTTCACTGTCAAAACAAAGAAACTTATATAATTAGAATTCTTGGATAAGTGCTTGCCTGTCAAGCACAAGG